TCCGTTTTCTATTTTTACTGACTTCCACTCAGATCTTTATTTCATTTCTTTCAACTTGTGTTCAATTTGCTCTTCTCGTTCTAGTTTAAGTTGGATGCTGAGGTCATTGATTTGAGATCTTTTTTTTTTTCTGACACAGACATTTTCCACTCTGAGTGCTGCATTAGCTCCATCTCGCACACTTTAATTTGCATTTTTATTTTAATGAAACTCAAGTATGTTCTAATTTCCCTTTTGATTTTATGTTGGACCCGTGGATAAGTGTATCTTTTAGCTTCCAAATATTTGGAATTTTCTAGGTGTCTTTTTGCTACTGATTTCAATTCTATTGTGTTCAAAAGATATTTTATATGACTTGGATTCTTAAAAAATTATTAAGATAGATTTACTGGATCAGAGTATGGTCTGCTTTGCTAAGTGTACCTTGTGCACTTAAAAAACAGAAGTATACTCTGCCGTGGTTGGGCAGAATGCTCTATAAAGCATCAGGTCAAGTTAATTCATAATGTTAATTAAAAACTATAGATGTGCTAATTTTCTGTCTACTTGTTCTATCTCTGTTCTATCAAGAGGGATATGTTGAAATCTCCAAACACAATTGTGGATTTATCTGTTTCTCCTTACAGTTCTATCGGTTTTGCTTCATGCATCTGAAAGCTCTCTAAAAAGTTTCACGGATGCGCAGGACAACTGTCTTCACTGTATTTCACTCATTGCATGTGCGCTCATCATCACAGAACGAGCCTCGTATTCCTGGAAACATTCTCGGCTCTGGAAGCCACCTTGCCCGGCGTTACTCCAGCCTCTCCAGGGCTCCTTCTCTTCATCTCTTCAGTGTAAGCACGGAATGCCCTTTGCCATCCCTTTACTTTTAATCTATTTCTGTCTTTATATTTAAAGTGGGATCTTAGTAGGCAGCATAGAGTTAGCTCTTGCTTCTTTATCCAACCTAATGATTTCTGCCTTTAATTGGGTTTAGACCATTTACATTTAATATGATAATTGATATGGCTGGATTTAAATATATCATCTCGCTCACTGTTTTTTATGTCTAATTTGTCCTTTGTTCCTTTTTTCACCTTTTTTTCTGTCTTATTCTTTTATTATTTTAAAAATATATTTTATTGAGCTGCCTGCCCTGGCCGGGTAGCTCCACGGGTTACAGCGTTGTCCCGATACACCAATATCGTGGGTCAATCCCTCATCAGGAAACATACAGGAATCAGCCAATGAGTGCATGAATAAGCAGAACAACAGATCCATGCTTCCCTCTCTCTCCCTCTCTCTGTCTAAAAGTCAATAAAATAAAATAACCTTAAAAATATATATATATTTTATTGATTATGCTATTACAGTTGTCCCATTTCCCCCCTTCACTCCCCTCCGCTCTGCACACCCCCTCCCACCCACATTCCCCCGCTTTAGTTAATGTCCATGGGTGATACATATAAGTTCTTTGGCTTCTACATTTCCCATACTATTCTTACCCTCCCCTGTCTATTTTCTACCTACCATCTATGCTACTCATTCTCTGTACCCTTTCCCCCCTCTCTCTCCACCAGTTCCCCTGCTGATAACCCTCCATGTGATCTCCATTTCTGTGGTTCTGTTCCTGTTCTAGTTGTTTGCTTAGTTTGTTTTTGTTTTAGGTGTGGTTGTTAATAACTGTGAGTTTGTTGTCATTTTACTGTTCATATTTTTTTATCTTCTTTTTCCTAGGTAAGTCCCTTTAACATTTCATATAATAAAGGCTTGTGATGATGAACTCCTTTAACTTGACTTTATCTGGGAAGCACTTTATCTGCCCTTCCATTCTAAATGACAGCTTTGCTGGATAGAGCAATCTGGGATGTAGGCCCTTGCCTTTCATGACTTGGAATTCTTCTTTCCAGCCCCTTCTTGTCTGCAGGGTTTCTTTTGAGAAATCAGCTGACAGTCTGATGGGAACTCCTTTGTAGGTAACTGTCTCCTTTTCTCTTGTTGCTTCTAAGATTCTCTCCTTATCTTTAATATTGGGTAATGTAATTATGATGTGCCTTGGTGTATTCCTCCTTGGGTCCAGCTTCTTTGGGACTCTCCGAGCTTCCTGGACTTCCTGGAAGTCTATTTCCTTTGCCAGATTGGGGAAGTTCTCCTTTATTATTTGTTCAAATAAGTTTTCAATTTCTTGCTCTTCCACTTCTTCTGGCACCCCTATGATTCAGATGTTGGAACATTTAAAGATGTCCCAGAGGTTCCTAAACCTCTTCTCATTTTTCTGAATTCTTGTTTCTTCATTCTGTTCTGGTTGAATGTTTCTTCCTTCTGGTCCACACTGTTGATCTGAATCCCAGTTTCCTTCCCATCACTGTTGGTTCTGTGTACATCTTCCTTTATTTCACTTAGCATAGCCTTCATTTTTCATCCAATTTGTGACCATATTCAACCAATTCTGTGAGCATCCTGATTACCCATGTTTTGAACTATGCATGTGATCAGTCGGCTCTTTGTTGCTTAGTTGTATTTTTTCTGGAACTTTGATCTGTTATTTCATTGGGCCATTGTTTTTGTATCGGTGTGCCCGTTATGTATAGGGGGCAGAGCCTTAGGTGGTCACCAGGGTGGGGCAACCCATGTCACTGTGTTGTAATGCTGCATGTGGGGGAGGGGTCTGAGAGGGAGCAGTGTCGCTTGCTCCACCCTCTGCTGGTTTTCAGTCACTTCCCCCACTGCCCACAAGCAAACTGGGCCCTTCTGGGGCTGATTCCCAGGTGGGTGGTTTGTGCACGTCCTGGGGCCCTGTGGGTCTCTCCAGCGCACTCTCCTGTGAGGCTGGGAGTTTCTCCCGCTGCTACTGCAACCCCCACAGGTGTTTGCAGTCAGAGGTTTGAGGCTTTATTTTGCTGCACTGGAGCCCTGGGTTGTGTGGTCTGTCTCACTCCCCAGTTGTTCCTCTCAGTTTATCAACACACAAATGTGGGGCCGCCCAGTCCACAATCTGCCACTTCACCAGGTCCTCCAGCTGATGCCTTGCCACGAGTCCTCTCTGCCTGGCTCCCACCTCTGCCCCACCTGTCAATCTGGGTGTTTCTTCTTTAACTCCTTGGTTGTCGGACTTACATACAGTTCAATTTTCTGTCAGTTCTGGTTGTTTTTTGTTTTCAAATTTTTTGTTGTCCTTCTTTTGGTTGTTTGAGGAGGCACAGTGTGTCTACCTACGCCTCCATCTTGGCTGGAAGTTCCCTTATTCTATTTTTTAAAAAAACAATATTTTAGTCCTGGCTGGCGTAGCTCAGTGGATTGAGTGCGGGGTGCGAACTAAAGTGTCTCAGGTTCGATTCCCAGTCAGGGCACATACCTGAGTTGCAGGCCATGGCCCCCAGCAACCGCACATTGATGTTTCTCTCTCTCTCTCTTTCTCCCTCCCTTCCCTCTCTAAAAATAAATAAATAAAATCTTTTTTAAAAAAGATAGTATTTTAGAGCGGTTTTAAGTTCATAGCAAACTGAGCAAAAGGTACAGAGATTTCCCATGTGCCTGCTCCCCGGACACACACCCAGCCCTTCCCGCGATCATCGCCCCCCACCAGAGCGGCACCTCTGTTCCAGGTGATGACCCTGCACTGGCACCTCATCACCAAAGTCCACAGCTGACCTCAGGGCTCAGCCTCGATGTCCCACCCTCTGTGAGTCTGGACAGATGTGTGAGGGTATGCACGCACTGCTACAGTATTGCACAGAACACCTTCGATGCCCCAGAAGTCCTCTGTGCTCCACCTACTCATTCCTCCCGCGCCTCCAACCCCTGGCAACCACTGACCTTTCTATGTCCCCATAGTCCTGCCTCTCCTCTCTGTGTGAGCGCTTCATATTTACCCCTCTAATCCTCCTGGACAGTTCTTTACCCAGAGAGTTTCTTCACATGAATGAGCTGATCAGTACTCAACCGAACGCCAGAGGAGGGGGCCTCTGCCAGTCTCCGGAATGCTCTCCGTTCTGTGGCCTCTGCCCTGAGAACGCCGCTGCTCTGGCTCCTTGCATCCCCAGCTTCGTCTTCTCAACTCAGGGAGCCCACTGGACGTCCCCTGGACCCCGCCCCCTGTGCCATGGCCGTGTCCCTCGTCCAGGCAGTGTGCTAGGGCTCGCCCAGGGCTCGCTGCACCTGTCTCCCATCGCTCAGGAATGACGAGCCCGCTCACCGTCTGACACCCAGGATCCCGAGCACCATGGTTTCAGCTGTGTCCAGAGTTCTGTTATTTTGGGCAGGAAGGTGAACTCGGCCCCTGTTACTCCATTGTGGCCAGAAACCGCCGTATCATAATTTCACCCTCAATCTTTTTTATTTACTCATCTTATACTTTAGTTCCAGAAAATTCGATCCTACTGATCAGAGGCAAGAGAGTCAGAAAAATGGGCCTGAGTGGGAACACTGCTACCAGCTACGCCCAGAGCCGAGATACAGACTTTCCCAGCTACGACGTCTCTCCACTGTTAGAGGAGCCTGTCACGAAGCCAGGTGAAGCTCTTTGACCTTCTTGAGGGTGGAGACCCCAATGCGACTCTGTCTCCAGCACCCAAAAAGGCGAATAGATAAAAGTATGGGTCCGATTAGGCAAAACTGAACATGAAAATTCTATCACATCATCACCATTAGAAGAACAGCTGTGTGCTTAGCAGTCTGCACACACACAACTGGATTCAGATCTCACAATCAGTTTAGGTATGTTTCAGAATACTGACAAAGAAACCGGGGCTAAGAGTGGTTAACTAGCCTCCGGAGTAATACCATGCAGCTGGTTAGCGGCAGAAATAGAAAGCAAACAACGTCCAACAGCGTTCCCGTCTCTGTGTAACACCCCGTGCTGCAAAGTTTCTCTGAACCACAGGCTTCCCCGCCGAGGCGCTGACTGGAGACCGTGCGGTCCACCGTCAAGTCTTCAGCGCTCCCGTCCGTCAGCACGAAACATCTCCGCCAGGGTGCTTTTACAATTTACTTTATAGAATGTTTTACTTTACAATTACCTGCTTCGCCTCCCAGGAGCCGTGGTGAAGAACTCGGTGCTGAGTGATCTCGTGAAAGGATCTGTGCAGCTTGGTCCCGAGCTCCCGCGTGTCCGCCACCTAGAACGGGCCGGAGAGAGAGGGTGCGGAGTGCCGGCGCCGGCAGCCACAGGAGACGTGCCCGCAGGGGCTCTACGGCGAAGGGGCACGCGACACACGCGAGAGAGCAAACCACTGACGCCACTCAGGGCCCGTCAGGGGTTTCTGCCCGTTCCTGTGGGCGCAGCAGGAGGAGTGGAAAGGAGGCCTGAGAGACCTGGCAGTAGTGGCCCCTACGTCTCCTCCAACTCCTGTTACCGAAGCAAGATCTACCAAACAGGGTCTTTGCTCCCCTCGCTGTAGCAGACAAACGGCCCAGAGGCCCATCTGCCTGTGTGGGGCTCTGCAAACTGCCCTCCCCTGAAACAGGCTCCCAGAGAGCAGGCGTTCTGCTGCACGGTGAGGGCTGATCCCAGAACTTCTCCCCGGTGAAGTCTTTTAGGGGGAAGAGGAACAAAGTGATACAGTCTGCACACTGGGGAATGGGCGGCGAGCCTCTGCTTTTTAGTATAAAATTGTAGGAAACCAGAGTTAAAGGGGACCGGAATCATCACCTAATGCAGCATGCTGGTTTTACGGATGGGAAGACAGAAACCCAAAAGAAGCGGGCAACCCAAGATCTCACAGCTGGTGAGTCCTCCAGGGCGACCACAGAACCACCAATATGCCGTTCCCCCCGTGCTCTGCACTGGCCACGTGGCCCAGAGAGCTGAAGCGGTGATAAAACGCACTCGATTATTAAGGTGTTACATTCTTTGACCCAGCAGCTCCACTTATAGAAATTTATTTGAGGAAATAACTCAAAAGAAGCAAGACATCTGAAGTTACAAGCAATAAGACACTATTTTTTAAAAAAAGTGAAGCTTGGGAATTTAAAATTAGAGCAATAAAGTTTATACATTATTTAAAATGTTATGTGTACACTATCTTGTCGGAAAAAAAAAGTTTACAAACGGAAGCCACAGCTATGGGATTACTGTGCCAGCCCACCGCTGACACCGAATGGTCAGTGCATACCCCCAACAGGAAGGGAATAAACGAACATTCATGAGACCCACTGTGTGCTAGACACTGGCCCGTCTAGCCCTCACCCTCATAGCCACTCTCTGAGGCTCTGTGGTGTTTTCCAACGCGCAGAGGAAGCTCAGGAAGGAAAGTGCAGGCCCAAACCCACACAGCTAGTAAGTAAATAAACCAAGATTTGAACTTGGACCTCTGGCTCCCAAACTCGTTAGGTATCACTCCTACTGGCTGATGGCTGCTCAGTTACTTCTGTCGCCAGTAGGCAAGAGAACATTCTTCAACGGGGAAGTGGGGATCACTGATCTAATCCCAGTTCTGCTCATGCCTAGCCGTGTGACCTAAGGGAAGTAAAAATTTTAAATAACTTGTTTTCTCATTAATAAAATAGTATACATACCATCTATTCGCCAAATATTTCTTAAAACTCGACAGGCCTGGCACTGTGTGGGATCCCAGTAAGGTCTCATTCAGCCGCGTCCCCGGAAGCACCGCACACACCATCACTCGGGGAGGCGGAAGGTCACCGAAACTGCGGACGCCAGGCGTTCCACTGACCTGCAGGGCCTGAAGGCAGGTCTTCCGGAAGCTGCGGCTGGTGCTGCCGGTCACGACACTCATGATGGAGTCCACGGCCACCGCCAGTGAGGCCCGCCGTCTCTGATGAGCCTGGGCAACGGTGCAGTTACGGGAGAGAGCGCGGTTTGCAGTTACCCCGAGCTGCTGCCCCAGACAGTCCCGGAGGGACCAGAGATTGCAGTGGGAGCCGGCTCTCCGCCATGCTCCCCTCCGCCCGCAGCAGTCATGAGACCACGGCATGCAAAGGCGCGGCAGGATTGAAACAAGTGAAAAAGCGTTTTCTCCATTCACGGGGCAACTCACTGACAGACTCATTCAGAAGAGACGATCAACAAGACCCTGGACCATAAAACAGATTCGCTTACAACTTTAAAAGCTTTAAGCTTGGCCCTGGCTGGCGTAGCTCAGTGGATTGAGCACGGGTTGCGAACCAAAGTGTCGCAGGTTCGATTCCCAGCCAGCGCACATGCCTGGGTTGCAGGCCACAGCCCCCAGCAACCGCACATTGATGTTTCTCTCTCTCTATCTCCCTCCCTTCCCTCTCTAAAAATAAAGAAATAAAATCTTAAAAAAAAAAAGAAAAGAAAATACAGCTTTAATATAGAAAAAATTTTAAAAAAAAAGCTTTAAGCTTTGTCTCTTATTGTGGGTTTTTCCCTGAAACGGCGACCATGTGAAGTAAGAAATGTGCTACCAAAAGTACACAGGATGAGGGAATTCAGAAAGGCAGGTGAGAAGAGAAAGGTGCTGTGAGGGAGGATGGCAGAGTCAGCGGAGCTGTAGCCCCAGAAGTTTGTGTGGGAAGGGGGGTGTCTAGGTAAGGAAGAGGTGCATCATGAGTCATTTTCCTCTACTATTGTATTCCTATTTAATCAAACTCCCCCACTGGGAGGCGGAACGGAGCCAGCTGGTTACAGTGGCCCACCTAAGGTAAACCGTGAGTCCCCAGGCCAGCTGCAGTGTACATGACCAGGTCAGGGGAGCAGAGAGAAAAGGATAGGGCATGAGGAAGGACAGGGTCTTGGGCCCTGTCTGCCACGTATTCTGGCTGCCCCTCCCGTGCAGACAGCGGGAGAAGTACCACGGTGAATTCCTTGTTACCTTGGCAGCCCGGTGATGCTGCTCCAGGGCCCGGTCCACGGCCAGCTGGAGGGACTCGCGCACCGCGCTGCGGTTCTCCCTGAGGACGGCGCCGAGCCGAGCTGCGAGCAGCGCGTGGGCTCCTGCAGGGAGAGGGAGCGCGGCAGCCCCGGTGAGCACGGCCGCTTCAACGCCACTGTTTGCGTGCTGGCTTACTGCTGCCTACCCATGGGTTACTTTTTTAAGACAAAGAAAGAAAAAAACTCCAGCACCTTACAAACTCACCCCATTCCTACTTACGAATGAAAGAAAGAACTAAGGTGAAGACAACACTAATTTTGAAGAAACAAATGTGGGATCCTGTTTGATCGGAAAGAAAAATGAATATATATATACCGCACACCATAGAGAAGGGCACTGGCGACTCCCGAAGGGGAGAGGGCGCCCCCTGCGGCACGTCCACCCTCGCTGCGCTCCCAGCCGGGCGCTCTGCCGCGGCGGCCACTGCTGCTGCCGGCGCGTCCATCCCTCCACACGTGCTGTGGCACGGGAAAAGGCGAAACCCGCACACGTGACTCTGGAGACTGCTATTTTAAGTTGTTTTTAAGTGGGAGACTATTTCTGATAAAGTAACCAAAGGGACCTCAACTCAGCGTCATCTGGAAAAGCTAACGTGGGAGAGTGATGGGCGAAACATGCCATCCACAATGGCCAGCGGGGATGATCCTGATGCAGCCCAGCACGACAACCTCACCCACAGGGCACGCGGAGAAAATGCTTCTAGGTTCATCTTTCTTTCTTCAGGGACTTTCTGCCCTCCCCCGGGCAGTCTGTGCAAAGGCACAACGGCGGAGCAGCCGGCGGCTGGCCAGCTTTTCTCGGGGTGGCATCCGACGCAAGGCGGCGCGTTTCCCGCCGGGCGGCACCGGGGTGCTCTGCGGGAAGGGACGGTGCCGTGCAGTCTGCTCAGGGGGGGTCTGGGCTGCGGTCAGGAGCACACGGATTCCAGGGTCGGTTCTACCACCAACCAGCAGTGACAAAAAACGGCTTTATATCACCTGCTCTTGTGGGTGTTTTGTACAGATACACTAGGGTGACATACATGAACTGTTCTGAAACGTACCCTGCAATATTCAGGGGAAGACATTGCGACTGCTATGAGGGCATCATCTGGATTACTATTTTCTACAGCTCGGTCCTAAGAATAGCCTCAAGAAATCAGTTAGAACCATGTTAAAAGCAGGCATTTAATTAAAAAGCTCCAAGTTCATTCCTAAAACTGCAGATACCACCAGATGCCTTTAATGCTGTGGCAAAATAATGAGTTAATCATAGCAAAGTTACCATGACAAGGTGGGCAGGAGGCCAACTGAGTGGTTTTTTTAAGACACATGGGAGCAGCCTGCAGCTCTGCACAAGCTGTTTCCTAAAAGGAGCTCCAGAGAAAGCTTTCAAGGATATGAGAAAGGAGAGGGGGGAGAAGGTAAAATCACTGTATCGATATCCATATACCTTCCTACATCTACCTACCCACAGAGCGTGTCTTCAAAGCTTAGTCCTAAACTACCAGGTGTGTAAGGAAATTTTAAAAGGTACTATTAAAAATTTTTTTTGTCCTCCCCCGAGGACATTTTTTCATTGCTTTTAGAGGAAGAGGAAGGGAAAGAGAGAAACACTGATATGAAAGAGAAGCATCAGCTGGTTGCCTCCTGCATGGGCCTGGACCAGGCACGGAATGTTTTGGGGCCAGAGGTCAGACACATAAACCTGGGTGTGCGCCCTGACCGGGAATCAAACCCACAGCCTTTCGGTCACGGGACAATGCTCCAAGCACCTGAGCCACACTGGCCAGAGCGAAGGATGCTATTTCTTCATTCGTGCAGTAATGTATTTCTACTTCATCCCACTCCGAATGCTGCTGGAGATGCCGCAGGCCTTTAGAGTCAAGCCGGACAGAGGTGTTTAGACCATCACAGCGCGACAGGAATGACAGGCAACACTGGGGATCTGAGTTCATACGGGACGTCCAGGAGGGGTCAGAATGTGGTCTCAGGCTTTACGTCATCCTGAGACTGAATATGACGCTCCTGTCAGCGGACCTCAACCAAAAAAAAGCCCGAAGATGACAGCTTTGAAGTCTTAAGAGAGTCTTTAGACTTGGAAGCACCTCTGATATCACCCAGTCTGACAACCTTCTGTTACATACAGGGTGGGGCAAAAGTAGGTTTGCAGCTGTTCATATGGAAAATAGTACATTAATAAGTAATAACACAAGAATAAACCACATTTCGCAGACTCACAACTATAAATCTGCCTTTGCCCCACCCTCTGTACGAAAGAGAGGATCAGGTGACTTACGTGACTTAGTTCCAAAACTCACTGAAGAATTTGGTTGCAAACTAAAACCAAACTCAGGTCTCTTGATTCCACCCTGCATGCTTTCCGCAACACCAAACTGCTTCCCTTACCAGCCCCTCCCAGGGGAGCACAGGCCAGGTGACAACCCCAGGCATCTTCACCTTTGACTCCCTTGCTGGAAGCCTCTGTAGTTCAGTCCCCTCCGTGTCCGTGTCCCAGGGCCTTAACAAACGGGACAGTGGGACACCAAGAACACCAGCTCCTCGAATAAAGAGTTGCCAGCCAGAGCCCAGGAAAGCAGCGCTTCTCCCCTAAAGGACAGACGCATGCCGGGGACAGACAGACAGGAGGGGCACGGACGGCGGGCAGCGGGAGGAAGCCCACCGCCGACAAGGCATGGTCAACAAACAGTTGGCACCGGTCACTGTGCGCCCCTCTGAGCTGGGGTGGTAGGCTGCCCCACCCCTCCCACGGCGGGGGGGGGGGGGTCGCGTGGAGCAGCACCGAGCGCTCAGAGAGCGGAGTCCCAAGCAGAAGCGTCGGCCCCCGGAGAAAGAGCACAGACACATACCGGCAACGCCAGAGGAAAGGTTATGAGCCTTTCCCCAGAAGTTAATAAGCTCTGCTTCTTGCTACTTCCTTCAAAGTTTAGAAGGGCGTCGGGAAGCACTTAAACTTATGTCCAAGATTTACTGGGTTAAAATGTGTAAGCCAACTCCTACTTACACTCGGTGGTTTTCAAACTTTACTATATTTAAGGATCACCTGAGAATCCTGTTAAAAAAAATGCAAAATACTTGAGCCATACCAGATTTTTACATTATAGCGAAATAATGAGTTAATCTTTGACCCAGGAAGCTGCACATTTTCAAATATCCCAGGTGACTCCGATGCATGTGTTTCACGGACCACCAAGCAGTGAAATCACTGCTTCCCCTCCAACAGAGAGAACCTTTGTGATAACAGGTTATCACCCATCTGTTAGATAAGTGCCCCAGGCTCCCCCTTGTACCCTAAGGGACACATTCTCCCTTCTCAGGGCCCCGCGCAGCAGCCACAGGGAGCCGCCCACACCGGCACACGCACACAGCCGCTCACACCGGGCCTGGGAAGCTGCAGCGAGGCCTCGAAAAACCAGTGACGTTTCCGCATTCCCCCTGGAAAAGCAGTGGGGAAGCGAACAGTTCTCGAGCCTGAAAAGCTTCGAAAACATTCTGGTACCTGAGCCCCACCTCAGTCCAAGGAAATCTCTGAGGGTGAGGTTTGGGCATTTTTTAGAAGCTCCCGCCCTGGCTGGTGTGTCTCAGTGGACTGAGCGCTGGCCTGCGAACCAAAGAGTGGCTGGTTCGATTCCCAGTCAGGGCACATGCCTGGGTTGCCAGCCAGGTCCTGAGTAGGGGGAACAAGAGAGGCAACCACACATCAGTGTTTCTCTCCCTCTCTTTCTCCCTCCCTTCCCCTCTCTCTAAAAAGAAATAAATAAAATCTAAAAAAAAAAAAAAAGCTCCCAAGGTAATATACTAGGCAGCTAAGGGCGACATACCCTGTAGGGAGCATTACAGGAAGTGTCTGCGGACTTCTGGTCAACCAGACCTGGAAATGTCATCATTTCAGGGACGCTTCCAGATACAGATCTGTTCCACAGGGCACATAATGTAACTTCATTGAAGCAAGACTTTTCTAAATGGAAATTCATTATTCTGCAGAAATATATCTAACTCAGATATGTGCATCATATAAAGTCTCCTTTTCTTTATTCTCTCAACACTTAAGGGCACTCAGGCCGGCGGCCGCAATTTCTTACGCTTACCCCAGAGCTGCACTTGCTGGGCTGGAAACCCGCCGTGGGAGTCCACAAAGAGAATGAGCAGCAGAGCGTGTCCCCGAGGGTCCACACGCTGAGACTGATGTCCCTCACTGGACTCCACCTGATAACTCACGTCTGGAAGCACCGTGTCTAGGGGAGAGGATATTGCATACTGAGATAAGTAGAGCCCTCAAAATGCAGTTACCTGAGTCAAGAACCTACACACCTCAAACAAAGAAGGATCTGAGATCGATCTAAATGTGAACACTCTCTTCTCCTCCTGAATCGGTTTATCCACAGCAGGGAAGCAAAATAATAGTGATTCACAGGAAGGACATCAAAATAACAGCCAGGTGTTCAAAACACAAGTCAAAGGGCACTCCTTAGCATTTACTGGGAAGCACTATACAATAAATTCATGCAGTCCGTATACAACTGCCTAAGGTAAGTACTGTGAGTCAGAGGCAGAGGTCAGCATCAGAGCTGAGCAATGGTAATAGCTAGCTTGTGTGGAATGCTGGCTATCTGCCATGTAACATTAATTTCTTTGCATTTAAACTTCACAACACTACGGCCTAGAAACTATTCTTCAGCCCTTTCACAGACAAGAGGCACAGACAGGTTGAATACACTGCCCAACATGAGAGAGTAGGTGGTGAAATGGTTTTAGACTGACTCCCAAAATCTGTGCTTTGAATCACATTAAACGATATTTGTATTCCCCCAAGTAATCTGATGCCCCGTGGTCACTTTCTACCACCTCGATCCTTTGCAATATAATCGGCATAGTCCTAAATTCCACCCAGATCTACGTAGAGAAGTTCCTTGGGTTCCTGGTCCTTCCTTCACAGTAAGGAGTGAGTGAGATGAGGGGACGTTCTCTACAGTATTCATTCCCAAAGGTAACTGAGGAAGGTCAGGCATCACGAATTGAAAATAAAGGAAGCCAACAAAGCACACAGATAAAAGTGAAAGTGAGAAGAAGATGTGGAGAGCCCTAGGGGTCTAAAAATCCCGACGCCTTGACATCCTATGAAGACCAAACACTCTTCCCTCACAAAACCGCTTACCTCCAGAGACCCCGGCCAAGGACAGCCCCCTCTCACGCCACCCTCTGGAATAACTACCTGCTTAAGACAAGAGAGCCTCACTCCAAGGCTCCCTTCCCGGATGGAGACTCCAGCCCGCCCCCTGAGGCCCTGCCCGCCCCACCTCAGCAGGCTTCGGTCCTCTCACAGCCATCGCAGCTCTCCAGCACCTCTCCCCTGACAGTCACCCTCCTCCCCACCTCCGGTCCAACGGACCAGACTGCCTCCCGGATTCCAAAGGACTCCCGCTCACAACAGTCAAGTTCAAGACTGTCAACCTCCTAGACAGAAGCGCGTGGCCGCAGATACCTGTTTCACAGTATCACTTGTCAGTCCAGTTTTTAAGCATCCGTCTTTCAGCACGATTCACCCAAAACTGATATTGACTGGGCTCTCCACGAACATGACAGCCAGGTCCCTAGGTTTGTCACTAAGGTTTATGCTCCTGCCTTATATTTATGGGGTGTTTTAATTTTGGTATTTTGTGAGTAAGTTTATGTGGATTTTCTCATCTCATTAGGAAACGTTTCTCTTCCACAATAGTTCAAAAGTGTAATTGCTCCCTCACCAACCTTTCTAAAACCCCAGAGCTGACAGATTAAGGTACAACAGAAACCCTCTGAACAAGCCCCTGCAAGATGAAAGCCACTGGCTACTTCGAGAGGACCAGAGACAGAAGAGGCAAAAGAGGAGGTGAGAGGAGACCCAGCATCAATGTGTAACGGAAAAACAGCCAGCATCTGATGGGGCATCGCTTCTGGACGCCACTGGCCTCACTGCAGGTGGACTCCCAAACTTACACCTGCTGTTTGTATGTCCTCGCATTTTCCTGATGGTCTCCAGTTTCTTTTGTTCCTGTGCAAAGAGAGGGAGATATACCTCTATCCAAATCGAGATCCAAATTGGGCACCACACACAAGTGGTATTTCTTCCAGTCAATGAAATGAGAGAGATCTTTGAAGACATCAGCCCAAGACATAGTCACTGACTGCTCCTGGCTTGGCAGTATCAGAGGCAGACCTGAAGGTCCATATAGAAATACGTAGAGGTGCTAAAGAAAACTTCAAAATTTTAGCTTTTTTATGAATACATATTCATTTGCATAAAACAAACAGAACATTAACCTGTTTCACACTCCCAGAAATAAACTAGTGTGCTAGGCACTTATGTGTTAACCCTTTTACACACTGAAGACAGGTGTCAGGTACCAAAGACAGACCCACAAGAATCCTCAGAAATTTATTCCAGCTTTAACGTGTGTGAGCCACAGGCACAGTATTAGGACAGTTAGTTACTATTCATCCTACTCATTCAATCCTAGATGTGAGTGGCACCCCCGATTCAACACTGTACTAAGTTCTGGGGACACAAAGATGAATATCTAGATTTAATACTCCCCTTCAAGTTGTCACATATATAGTATGGGAGACACGTGTAAAAAACAGTAAACTGTAACACAATGTGCTACGTGTGTGTGTACACACACACACACAGAGGAGTATTTTCCAATAAGTATTTGAGTATATTCTGATTGAAAAGGAAACTCATTCTCACCTTCTCTAACTCTATAACCACGACAAAGAAGGACAGGCCCCAGAAATGGTTTCCTGGCTCTTTTTAAAAAAAAATTAATTTATTTATTTTTAGAGAGGGAAGAGAGGGAGAAAGAGAGAGCGAGAAACATCAATGTGTGGTTGCTGGGGGCCATGGCCTGCAACCCAGGCATGTGCCCTGACTGGGAATCGAACCTGTGACACTTTGGTTCGCAACCCGCGAGGTTTCCTGGCTCTTGACTTCCCATTTCCATCCTCATCCTCCCTCTGACCCGAGGTTTATCAGCCTCGGCACTGCTGACACTTGCAGCCAAACCATTCTTTGTTGTGTTTGGAGGGGAGGGATGTCCCGTGCCTTGCAGGGTGTTCAGCAGCGTCCCTGGCCTCCACCCCTCCCTCCACTCATGACAATCAGAACGTCTCCAGACATTGCCAGACGTCGTCTGAAGGCAAAATTACCCAGTTATGAACCACTGCCTAACATTTCTGTCCCTTGAAACAAAGTAAAGAGGCCATGTTTTTTTCTTTATTTTTCTTTGTTTTCATTTTTTTAATGTGATAAACACAAAGCATGGACTGTGAAGATGACAATTCTTACCCAGGAGGCACCGGGGTGTTAGGAAAAGTCACGACAGGACAAAGGCCGGCGGTGCCCATGAAGAAGTGTCCAGCACAGACCCGAGAACATGCGCTAAGGCCAACACATTCTCTGTTTAGAGCCGGGAGAGCTTCGAGGTGCTCGAACTTGAAATAAGAGGGGGGTATCTGAAGAGTCAAAACATGTGATTGTCTTTACACTGGATTAACCATTTCCATTTCATGAGAATATTGCTGTGGTTGGGTTTAAATATACGATCTTGTTGCCTGTTTTCTACTTGTTCCCAGGATTCTGCTTTCCCTTTTTCTCTTTTCTAGTCTTCGGATTCTGTTTTAATGGTATATATTTTATAATTCCACTTGTCCTCCTTTTTTGTTTATTTGTTAGAACTACTTGTATTAATTTAGGGATTATTTTAGGCTTTCTAATCTACACCTCTAACATCACAGTCTACCTTCGTGGTGTCGTAATAGCTAACACGCAAACGGTGTGAGAATCTTTCAGCAATGTACTTCCCCCCTGCCTCCCCCCTCACCTTCAGACAACTGCCACGCATTTTACATCCATGTATGTTATAGGCCTTCTATGCTGTTGTAATTTTTGCTTTAAACAATTATCTTTTAAGAAGATTTTAAGAACTGGGCAAAAACCTTCCATATATGCCCAGATGGTTACTATTTCGAGTGGTCCTCTCCACTGAGTGGGTCCAGAATCCACCTGGTATTGTTTTCCTTCTGCCTGAAGGATTTCCTCTAACATTTCTTATAATACAGGCTGGTAATGAAGTCTTTTTTCTTTTGTATATAAAAAAAAATCTTTATTTTGCCTTCATTTTTAAAAAAATATTTTCACTGGGTATAGAATTCCAGATGAACAGTTTTCTTTTTTTTTTTCTTTCATTACTTTAAAGATGTGGCTCCACTTTCTTCCAGCTTACACTGTTTCCAGTGAGAAATCTGCTGTAATTCTTATCTTTGTTTCTCTATGTATAAATGAATCTTTTTTTACTTCCAGATGCTGTTATTTTATTTATTACTGGCTTTGAGCAATTTGATTATGGCATCTCTTCATATAATTTTCATCTTATTTCTTTTTTAAAAGATTTTATCCATTTTTAGAGAGAGGGGAAGAGGGGGAGGAAGAGAGGGAGAGAAAAATCAATGTGTGGTTGCCTCTTGTGAGTCTCCATACTGGGCACCTGGCTGGCAACCCAGGCATGTGCCCTGACTGGGAATCGAGCTGGTGACCCTTTGGCTCGCAGCCAGCACTCAGTTCACTGAGCCACACCAGCCAGGGCCTAATTTTCATCTTATTTCTCGTGCTTAGGGTTCATTGATCTTCTTGGATCTGCTGATTTATAGTTTTCATCAAATTGGGAAAATTGGGGGACACTATTCCCCCAGATGTTTTATCTGCCCTCTCTCCCTTCAGGACTCCAGTTACACACTCCTGAACTAGGCAGGCCACTTGAAGTTATCCCACAGTTCATGGACATTCTGTTCATTTTCTTTAAGTCCTTTTTCTGTCTCATTTTAAGTAGCTTCTAATGTTATGCCTTCAAGTTCACTTATCTCTCCTTTTGCAATGCACAAATCTATAATTAATCTTATACATTGTATTACTGACCTAAAATTGTAGTACTTTTTATCTCTAGGAGTTAAATTTGGGTCTTTTACCTAATAGGGTCAATCTTCCTCTCTTGGACATAAGGAATACAGTTAAACCTGGTTTAATGCCCTTGTTTACTAATTCTATCATCTGTTTCATTTCTAGATAGGTTTCCATCCATTGAAGTTTTCCCCCTTCCTTTTGGCTCCTAGTTTCCTGATTGTTTTGCACGCCACTTAGTTTTTTATTGAGTGCCCAGCATTGTCAAGTTTACCTTATTGGGTGTGGAATATTCTGTATCCTGTAAATATTCTTGAACTTTTTTCTGGGACACTATGGGGTTGGTTGAAAACAGTTTGAGCATTATGGGTCTTTTAAGCTTCATGAGGTGGGATCACAGAAGCCTGTAGGATAAAGCTAACTTTTCCCTAGTACTCCGGCAGACCCTTGATGCCTTGTGAAACACAAGGTTTTCTTTCCTCCCCACCTAACAGGAACATAAACTGTTCCCAGCCCTGTGCACACTCCAGGGTTCTCCTCTGAAGCTCTCTCTGTGTCCACGCACTTCTCTCCGCGCAAGCACTCGTTTCTATGAAGCCTACCCGTCTGGATCTCCCTGACCTGGACACTCTGCCTCCTCAACTCAAGACAGATTCAGCAGATGTCTTCCCTCCCTGTGTCGTAGCCTGGAAATTCTCTCTAGCAAGTACGGGCGGCAATCACAGAGTTCACTTTTTTGTGTAGCCTCTTTCCAGATCCAAGGTCCCACACTACCTGTTGCGTAACGCATTAAAACTCACTACCCATTGTGTAATAAATGAAAACTATCTTTTAATATAATTTGTCCATCTTTCAGTTGTTCAAAGTGGGAAGTTAAATCCAGTTCCTGCTATTCTATCACAGCTTGAAACGGAAGTTTCTAAGTCCTTCTGACATAATCTCATGGGCGTTTGATAGCTTCCTTGCTTTTGGCCCAACAAGATACCAAATTCATCTAGTACATTTCTACTTCAGGCCTAGAATAAGCCATTTCACTTCTTAAAAAATGTCTGGCTCTATAGACAGGTTTATTCTGGATATAGAAATCTTGATATCAACTTCAGTCATTCCCTGCCCCTAATCTCTCCCTACTCCAACAGCAAATTGATCGCCTCACTGTGTCGATTCCTCTCAGTCTCCCCTTTCTGTAACCATTACACTTTCAGTTCAGGCACTCAATACCTCTCGCCCAGTTCACTCACTCACATACTTAGCGATTGCTGACTTCCTTCCCCCATCCATCCTGCATAATGCTGCTGGAAACTCCCAAACCATCCCATGGTTTCCCGCTACACAGAGAGTAAAGTTCACACTCCTTAGTGCCGCACTCAAGGCCCACCACGTTCAACTCCAAACGGCTGTCCCAGCCTCACCCCCCCCCCCCCCGGCACCACAATATGAGACGAGTGTGGCACACGCGGCACACCCTACAGTTTCCGGCCTCTTGGAAGAGTTCTCAAGCTTGGCTTTCACGCTGATTTCTGTTCGTATGCAAACCCTACTGGCTTCCAGACACAGAGCTATATGCCTAAGGCTTTTCTAAATGGGGATGTGACCATTCATTTTCAAAGACAATTATATGGATCCCGTCACGGAAAGGATATGGAGACCGAAGAAATCCTATTCGGCTGGTTGGAAGAGATCCTCGGGCAGGGACACACGGCGGCAGCCGGAGTCAGTATCAGCCCCCCCGACAAGCCCGTGCCGGCCACGTCACTGGGGACGCGAAGCATTACTGGGCGTCCGAGAACGGGATGGATTCTGCTGCAGAGTAACGGAGTTGAACCACATGTTGGTCTACTGTCAAAAAACAGGTGAGACACATTTAGCTTTTCCCTCTTCAGAAATTCTTGAAAAAGGCATTCAAGATTCCTTTTATAGTCTCTAGCATGTGCATAACCATATAACCCGCCATATCAGTTTTGTTGGAGTTTGTGATTCCCACTCAGGGAATCGCAAGAAATAGGCAGAGTGGACAAACTGGCATTTCAGGAATGGCATCATGGATCCTGCTTTTACTGCCAAAAGTGGCAGTTTTGTATCCTCATAAATGTATTTCACCCACTGAAATTACTCAGTGGTTCTGAGCAGAAGTTTCCAAGATTCCAAGATCATTCAAAGATCAGCATGGCAGAAGTGGGAGTGAGGGGGGTTCTTAATCACAAATAACCGAAAACTGGCTGAGTGATATCAGAAGACTACACACATACACACACACACACACACACACACACTTTTCCCTGAAAGAGGATGAGTTACCATGTGATAGGAGTAATGAGAAAACATGAGGACACCTTTCTGTCCTAGAAAGAATCTAGTGAACTTTAATACTTGCTTACTCTCCAACACTCTTTTCTAAACACAAAATAAATATTAATGGACTTTTACCTCTCTCTCTCTAAATCAATGTCACCCAGGGAAATGTGTCCACAGGCTACTGTAACAAGACGTCTACCTATACGGACTATAGGGTACTAGAAGATTACTAAACAAATATGTGCAGTGGTGGTTCGGTTTCCTGCACATATTAAAGAATAAACAACATTCTTCCCTGGCTGGCATAGCTCAGTGGATTGAGCATGGGCTTCGAACCAAAGCATTGCAGGTTCGATTCCCAGTCAGGGCACATGCCTGGGTTGCAGGCCACGGCCCCCAGCAACTGCACATTGATGTTTTTCTCTCTCTCTCTCTCTTTCTCCCTCCCTTCCCCCCTAAAAATAAATAAATAAAATCTTTAAAAAATCAACAACATTCTGACCTGAGGCATAATTTTGGACACACATAAGAAAACAGACTTAAAAATGTGAGCAGTCTCTTCAAGTCTTAAGAGCCTATGATGCCAGTGCTGTTCAGAGGATGTACATGAAGGCAGAAACTACTAAATACAAATAAATTAGTTGGACTTAAACAGAAGTAAGTTTTTTTCTCGCTATCATTCATGTTCATTTTGGATTCTGCGGTATTTGGGTAGCACAGACCACAAAACAAGGGTTCTGTCTATTCCATACTGTGTACCACCTCCTCCACAGAGGGTTTTGGTTTTTGGTTTTTTTGCAGTCTGAAGAAGGTGGAGGTCAGGAGAGAGATGGCTTTCAAACCTATGCAAAATGCTGATGCACAAACAATAATACACGAAGAATTCCTCTGCATTCATAGTATCTCTCTGGCCAAGAATTCAAGTAACCTTTTAAAAATTCAGTTCTCTCTTTTCATATCTAAGTGGGATTGGAATTAGCAAGGTGTGTTTTGTTTCATTTACAGAAGAAAACAAGGCATAGAGAGGAGAGAGAACATATCCTCAGGCCCATCGGAATATATTCAAGGAGCTATGAATAATAATAGTTTTCAATACAAATGGCTTAAAAGTTTTCCTTTCACTTTTGTGACAGAGTATCTGACACCTGACAGGAACGACAGGTGAGACCATTCTCCATCTCCGCCACACCCGCACTCAGAGTGGGGGAGGAAGACGTGGCGGGGACAGCGCCGCTCTGCCCCTCACCTCAGGTAGTGCTGACAGTTCACGACAAGAGCAACTCCGTTCGACAGGTTCAAAGTTGGTTCGTTGTCTGACCTGCAAAGCAAGGAAAAACTAAGCCACATCTGAAAGATTCTAATTCCATTTTCTGCCTGACACAAATGTTGATATATGACTATTACCACCCCCAGAGATTACTGGAATTCAGCAACCAATTAACCAAGGCTGAATGACAACTCTTAAGTTGACCCACTCAAGTGAAAGGGAAAGACGTAAAAGGTCTAAATGAATCTATTTGCTCATTAAAAATTCACAGAGAACAAGTGCAGGGGTCTCAGAATATTGGTTTCAAAGCGACGCTGGCTCAGGAAATCCACCTTTGGGCCTACTGGAAATGGGACAATGGCGACTGAGAAGAGCAGCAGAGCCATGGCTGTAAGGACTTACCCGAAGACTTCTGTAGAGAGGACTCCATTCATCTGCACGCTGAACTTAAATCTGACCTGCAACATAAGTGGTGTGCGATTTAACACGCGCCAGGGTGGAGGTTAAAAACTTCCACACTCAACCCCCAGAGGAGCCATTCTTTCTATCATCAGCCTTCTTTCCCTTGCACTAACCCTGAATATAATGCACACTGATCTGTGTTCAAATTCTGCATCTTAAAACATATTGCATCCAACACTAAAATTCCAAGTAGTCAAAAGTTATCAGGAAATCCTGTCCTTCTGTCCTTTGGTGTTCTCCCAATGTACTTCTTCCCCTTCTTAAAAGAATTATCCATTTTTCTCCCTCTTCTTTCCATTGTTTGTCATACAAGGAACATTCCATGCTTTTTTCTTTGCTTTTTCTTCCCTGTCGCATCTGACGTTTTTGCCTTCCTTCAAATTTATTTCACACTAGTTCCTATACCTTCAACCTACATTTGTCTTTCTATGTAACACAGAAGGTTACAGGGGACTCCAGAGCCAGACTGTCTGTGCTCAGATCCCACCTCTGCAGGTTATTTAACCCACGCACCACAGTTTCTCAGCCGTGGAACGGGCATGGCGGTGAGGCCCGCTTCACGAGGGGCGCCGTGAGGGCTGAACGAGGGAGTGCACGGAGAACACTTAGAACAGTGACTGGCAAAAAATAAGCACTGAGCCCTGCTGACAACCAAAGAAGTAGGAAGGCGACGAGAGAAAGAAGGGGAAAGCTATTAGCACACTCAGCTGTGTGTGCATCTTTATAAACATACCTAGCTACAGACGATAATAAAAATGTTGCTCTCAAAAGTTCAAAGTACTTTATCAAAATTTCCTTATTTGCTCTTACTGTCACTTTAGAAAAGAAGATAATCAACAAGCTTCATCACCCAGGTTTAACAGAAAATGAAACACAGCGGAGGAAAAAGGGGTACCCCAAGTGACACAATGAAACAGTAAAGAAGTGAAAATAAGAACCCAAAGAGAGCTCTCTCCACACCCAAGGGCTCCCAGCTATGTCACACGACCAATATCGAGGCTGCCTTAGGGACATGGAAACCAAATCAACTCAATATTAAAAGTTGTAATCAGGTCATTAAAAGAAAATTAACCAGATAATTCCACATTTTACAGAGTAGAGGTCTCTTGAAAACGTGACTTAAATAAGAGAGTCTTTACTGTGTAAAAGAACAGCTTACCTTAGGGTGCACCATGACAACCTTGCGTAAAAAATTCTTTATAACCAGACTATCTGTCACCACAGTTCTGGGCTTTGCATCAACCTGTAACAACACAACACAACACCCACCACACATGTACAAACCCCAAAGTACAAATGGATCGAATTCCGGCATTTCTTCCTATAAAAGTAACACCCCAAAAAGCTTTGCAGACATTGAAGGGAAACATTCTTTGGGTCTAAGAACTGGACAAAAAAGGGAATCTAATAGCCATCATTTCTTTGGTTAAAATACTTATTTCACGGAGCTTCAGGAGACACATGAACAATGATCAGAGTAAAACCTACAATCTCAAAACCACCTTTTGGAACAAACTTAAAAGTAATTTAAAAGTAATTCAGACTGGAGCTGAGAAGAGTAACTCTATCTTAACTCGACCATCCTAGTGTGGGTCAACCTGTATTAAGAATATGTGTGGCCCTGGCCGGCGTGGCTCCGTGGATTGAGCGACTGAGCGCTGGCCTGCAAACCAAAGAGGTCGCAGGTCAGGGCACATGCCTGGGCTGTGGGCCAGGTCCCCAGCTAGGAGCACGTGAGAGGCAATCTTGATGTATCTCTCCCACACTGATGTTTCTCTCCCTCTCTTTGTCCACCCTTTCCCCCTCTCTGAAAAGAACTAAAATCTTTTCAAAAAAAATATGAAGTCAAACAAGCAAACACTGAAAGAAACCTATTTTTTAATGTAAATTGATTCTTCCAAACATTTATTTTTATTGAAAAGTTGTGAAGCAAAAAGCTCAAAGGCCAGAAGACCTGTGTTCTAGCATTATCTCTGTAAATATTACTGAAGTATCTGTGATTTTAAAAAATCACATAACTGCTCTGGACCTTATTTCCCAATCAGCAAAACCTTTTTACCTCCTAGAACTATTTTAAAGATCAAACAATTCATCTAAAGGTGTATGTTGCACACACGCAAACAGTAACATGCCACTTGCTGAAGCCCGCTGTGCGGCAGGCACCGTGCGGTGCTATCCGCACGCTGTCTCACAACGATCCTGCAGACAGGCATTTACTCTCCCTTCTTTGTGGGTTGAAAACAAGAACAAACCGAGGCTCAGAGAGGTTAGGCAACTCGCCTAAGGTCACTAAGCCGTTCAGTGACAGAGCCAGAATGCGGCCCTAAGTCTACGTAAAACTAACGGTCCTTGCTCTTTCCAGTGCACCCTGACACCGCCCCACAAATGTATCACGACTTACCATCCAGCACGGGCTTCCTCTGTCCCAGGGATGGTGCTGAACTACCTCGCTTACATTACCTCCTCACCCCTCACACAGACCCTGTTAGGTACCTGTAACGCACATTTTCTGGATGAAAAAAGTGAGTCCCAAAGAGGTTAAACACTTTCCCAAGGATACCTAATTTGCTTCCAAAGCTTTAGTAGTAAACAGTTCCCCATATTTACTAGAGTGTCCCTAAAACCAAAGTCAGAAAAAGTGCCCTAGAAAGGGGAGAAGTCCAAGAGAATGAGAAAGAGAAATAGTCGGAAAAATCAGTAAGATCTTACTGATGACTCAGAGAGTACAGAGCCACGTACTGGGTACACATTAGAGGGGAAAGAATGGTCCAACCTCAAGGTCTCAATACAATAAAGAGAAACATGTAAATATCTAATAAAGAATTAACTTTAATACTTTTTATAAATACACTGAAAAAGCGATCAAGAACTGTGTGATGGGTGGGGATAATGAGAAAGAAACAAAATTATTAGAAAAATGAATGAGAATTATTAGAAAATTCCGGAAAGAAATCTAGGATTATTCACACACATAAATAGTGGTAATTAAGTGGTAACTGCAGCACACATTATAGTCATATCCTTCGTATAAAAATTTTTATTATAAATGTTCACACAGAAAAGCAATGGTCTCTTAAAAGCATTTTCTGTACTTAACACTTCCAAAACAACTTCTTGGAACAGTTTCAAACTTCTGTAACCTTGGTGATTACAGGGTGTATCACAGAAAGGGCTAATTATATCTAGCAGCAAGACAACTAAATAAGTGAAAGTTCCTTGAGTAGCTACCAGAGCGGGGCTACAATTAAAAGTGATGAGAGCGACCTTTTATTGAACACCTGCTACGTGACAAGCAGTTTATATGCAAGCAGGAAATGCCCCATTTTATTGATGAGGATCAGGGGACTGAATAAGCTAATTCATTTGCCTAAGGCCCCACACAGCTAGTTAAGTGGCAGAACTAGGATTCAAACCCAGGTCTGACCAACTCCAAACCCCGCATCGCGCTGCGCATGCTGCCTCTCCAAAGAAAGTTCATGTTCTATGCACGTAGCTATCTGAATCAGATATTACATAACCTGTCACTACCTCGCACGGACCCTGACAGACAACGCTTAGGTATAGCTACTGAATATGTGTATTTATTCACACATGCAACACTTAATGGGGCTTATTATGTACCTGGGCCTACAGAGATAAATAAAACAATCTCAATCTGAAGAGTTCACGGTTAAGTATAAGAGAAATACAAATAAATCACTTTGGCAATAATGTAAAAAGTATCATGATTTAGACATGTAAGAGATGCTACAAAATACGAGGACTGGACCCTAGTCCAGTCTGAGAAGGTAAGAGACGTAATGTCAGGTCAGCAGAGGGTAGTTAACACAAAGCACATAGCTTTTTTTTTAAAGATCTATTCGTAAATCATTGAGACCGACAGACAGACAGACACACTCTGACGGAGTGCAGTGTCTTTCACAGTCTTTTATAGTCGGGCGTTAGAAACCCAGTCCCCCAGCCTGCCACACCTACGGAAGCAGTGGATTTACGTAAGTGTTGTTAGGGAAAAACAGACGCTGCCAGCCCCGGGCAGCAGAAACCGCTGTTGAAGTATATGTTTCAGCCTTCACCTTTAGAAACAAGTCTAATTATACAATAGAATATAGGAACTGCTTTATATTTTGAAAAACAAACTTATGCAGTCATGGGCCCTACAAGATTTTCTAGGAGAAAGTCAATCAGTGTGTCCGTCTCTTTAAATAGACAGACAACAGATAGATACAGAGATCAATAGGTGTAAATTCAAATATATGTTTGTATGCATATATGTATATCTCTACCCATTTTATCATTTAGTACTATGGCAAAAATAATTATAAAAATGGATCAAGATGTCAAGAAGATCTTATAAAATCAAATTGTTTTTGGAGGGACATGTTACCCAGCCTAATGGACCCCAAGGATGCAGGACTGACTTGGAATAACCAAAACTCCTTGCTTCTCTCCTGAATGAAGCTTTCCTCAATCTTCCCTGAGATTAGCTCTCCTCACATGCCCAAAGCAGTGGTTCATTTATTGTGGCTTTTTTAAAAAATTGATTTTAGTCCTGGCTGGTGTGTCTGAGTGGATTGAGCGTGGGCCTGCAAACCAAAGAGTCATGGTTCGATTCCCAGTCAGGGCACATGCCTGGGTTGTGGGCTGGGTCCCCAGTGGGGGGCACGCGAGAGGCAACCACACATTGAAGTTTCTCTCCCTCTCTCTCCGTCCCTACCCTTCTCTCTAAAAATAAATAAGTAAAATCTTTTTTAAAAAATGATTTGAGAGAGAGAGGAAAAGGGGGCAGGGAGGGAGAGAGAGATCGATTTGTCGTTCCACTTATTTACACATTCATTGGTTGATTCTCGTGTGTGCCCTGAGCAGGGAGAGAATCTGCAACCTGGGCTCATCGGGACGATAACTCCAACTCAGACGCCTGGCCAGGATCTCTTACAGCTTTTCCTGCACATCTGCTCTAAGTCTTGCTGCTGCAGCCTTCTCCCCAGCTGAGGTATATGCAGTGGAGTCTCTCACAATCTCCTCTTTTTCTCCTCTCTTCATTCAAATACCTTTTAAATAGCTGCCCAGTACAGAGACAATGAGACATGATGGAACAAACGCTTCCAAGAAATCCTTGTTCCTCCGAGGTCGCACTAATCTTTTACAAACTTTCTTTACCCATCACCAGCTGACTCCTGGCTCCAGAGCTCTCCTCCTCACTCCAAGTCCTGCCATTGCCTTGACTGACTTCCACGTCCGAGCAGCTGACCAGTCTAAGCAATGACTTAGTCTCACAATCCCCTGGCCTCTTCAGCTCCAGACATCGTGACTTCCGCTCAGTTCCGTCCACCCATTTCCAGGGCCGCAGCTTGGAACTGCGCAGTTCTGGAAACCTTACACTGAAGGGTCCCGCTCTTATGTGAAAAGCTATATACCAACACATTAACAGTGGCTACCTTGACTAACTAAAATGATCTGTGTTCTGAATGCTCATTTTGATTCTCCTGAAACATTGCTTTAATGGAGGGGGAAAAAGAGAAACTATCATTCTGATGACAACCTCCTATTCTTTCGAGTTTCTGAACCCCTTATGCCCAGAAAAACTGTTTTTCAGCCTCATCAAGACCTCTAGGCTGGTGTATCTTTCTACACTATGCCCCTCTCCTTTTTTGGAGAGTGAATAAAAACTTTATTCTCTCTTTTTAAAAAGATTTTATTTATTTGTTTTTAGAGAGGGAGATAGAGAGAGAAAGAAACATCAATGTGCAGTTGCTGGGGGTCATGGCCTGCAACCCAGGAATGTACCCTGCCTGGGAATCAAACCTGCAACACTTTGGTTCGCAGCCCACGCTCAATCCACTGAGCTACGCCAGCCAGGGCTAAAACTTTATTCTCTTAAAAAAAGTTAAAAAAGACCTCTAGATCTTGACCCCTTCCCACTGGGTTAGGCACCTTTCTTCCACATCACAGCATTCTGTGCTCACCTTTCTCATGACACATATGACACTGTGGTCAATTATTTGTTTGTCTACCTTTTCCTTTAGATGTCATGTTCCTTGGGATCAAGTAACATGTTTTGGAACTCTGTACCTTCTAGCATAGTGAGGCCGACTTGAGCAAAAACAAATTTCTGAACGAATGGCTACTGACACAGCAGCATCCATTCATTACTCATTGATTACCAAGTAAGACTGGTTCAAATTCTGTCACTTAACTTTTTGTAGGACCTTCAGAAAGTCATTCAAATTCTGAACCTCAGTTCTCCTAACTGTAAAATAGGGTGGTAATCCTTGACCTATCCACTTCATAGAGCTTCTAGGCGGCTTATAATAACATAAATAATATATAAATGTTAGGTATAAGAATTACTGTTTGTTCGGACTGGCTGAAGCACGCGCTCTCCTGTCCTAGGGCTGCCTTCCTTGGTTCACTGGCATCAGCTTCTTTACTGCTGTTTCACACTAATAGTTTCAGGGCTGACTGACCACTGATTGCTCCTGGTTGTTCACCCTTCGGTTCCCCTAAACGAGATAAGGCACAGCCAGGGGATATCGGTTGTCCTCATTCCTCTTGAAAGGAGCATAGAATTGTTCAAACATGGAGAAGGCCTCCCAAGGGTTTCTTGGGAGAATGTTTAAGGTACTCTGATTCTTTATGTCTCTACCAACTCAAAGGAAGGAAAGACAGAGGGTTGGATAGTGGTTAAAGGAAATGTAGAATTCAGCTGTCATTCATAAATCTGGGCTACAAATAAATCAATAAAAACCTGTAAACCAACATAAAAAATGTACCCAGATAGGATCTGCACTGGGAATCCATTTTTATTTTCTTTTTCAGGAGATACAAATTTAAATAATGGCATGTTTCAGTGGATCTGCAAATTAGGAATCATTGAGATTTTTTAAACATTACAAAGCCCAAGTGACATCTGTTACGGACTGAAATGCACCCCTCAAAATTCACATGTTGAAGCCTCGCCCGCCCTGCGACTGTATTTGGAGGTGGGGCCTTAAGGCTGTAATGAAGCATAAATGAGGTCATGAGGGTGGGGCCCTAGCTGGCTAGAGCTGGTATCCTCACAAGGAGAGGAAGAGACAACAGACAGCTCTCTCCAGATGTGCACAGAGGAAAGACCCTGAGAAGAAACAGTGACAAGGCACTTTGATCTTGGACTTCTAGTCGCCAGAAGCATAAGAAAATAAATTACTGTTGTCTAAGCCACCCAACCTGTGCTATTTTTTATGGCAGCTCATGCGGACTAATCCAACATCCTAGACCAATTAAATCAGAACCTTTTGGAGTGGGACACAAATATTAGTGTTTTAGAAGCTCCCATGTGATTTAAAAACCTGTGCAGGAAAGTCTGGGAGTCAATGCTTTATTGCATTTAACTTGGAACTGTGATTCACCTAGGCTTTTTTTCTCTGGGTGATTTATACAAAAATAAGAATCAAGACATCAGTGATTTATAGACCCACAACAAAACCTGCCTCAAAAGTCATCTGGAAAGGTGTGACCCTGGACACGTCCTGAGAACAGCTGGCTCCCTCCGAAGTCCAGTCCAGTGTGGCAGAGAGTCCGGGCAGTGCAGACTGCATTTCTGTGTGAGAAGAAACGGCAACAGAACAGAGTGAGCAGTTTGGATAACCACCAGAATTTCTGGAATTGTTTACTGAACTTAAGAGCCAAGAAGGCTTTTCCCTGATGAAGAGATTATCTGCAAAATTTAAACTATGACTGGGAATAGCTATGCATCAGCAAATTGCTTGAACATTTAGAATGACATTACAGAGTTAAGACATTTAATCTCATGTTTTCAATTTTTCCCGTTTGTTAAATCATTTGTGCTTTCAGTTAATTTCCACAAGGTCATATCCAATGCCGGAAATCTTCAGAGCGGATAGCTCTATCTGATATTCTTGTATTTGTAATAAATAAATTCATTATTTAATAAACATAAACCCAGCAAGTGAGCTTATTTAGAACCAAAAGCAGAAAAATTCGAGAATGACCCTCTCTGGCATTTACCCAATACGGTATGCGGATTATTGAGGTAATCTGTAACGACGAAAAGCACGCCTCGCTACTTTAGTTCGTGCATTAACCACTTGGCGTGCTCACACGTGTGCCTCAGCTGCCCTCCCGCCAGGCGTCAGCGAGCCCCGGGCCGTCGTCAGAGAGCCCTCACGGCGTGCGCCGCCCTCTCCCTCTCTGCACCCTGCCGCTCATATTACAAATGGAGAAAACAAACTTCCCATTTTATAAAAAGCCATCCCTTATCTCCTCTCTACAGTATTATAAAGGAGAACTAAATATGAATAAAAATAGATATCTCAGTCTCCACAAGTTCTACCTTGTAAATGAGGTTGACAACGTTAATATTATACAAGGACCCAACTTTAAATATGTAATAACAAGCTATATCCCCAAATAATAGCACAACTTTCTCCTAAAGCATTCATACTACATACTTAATAAAGCTTTAACCATCTGAAAAAGTATGGACATTACCAAGATCAAGTTCTAACTATCAATCTTAATGAATATTTTTCTTGCCATTAGTTTGTTTTTTAATGTAATTCAGTCATAAAGCCCAGGATAACATGGCAGCAAGGTTATGCAACACTGAAGTTTAATGAACTTGGCGCTGAACTAGAATGCCTTGCGTCAATCTTCTGACAAGGGGGAGAGAGAGCCAGAGAGAAACACTGATGTGAGAAAGAAACATTGATCAATTGCCTTCCATACACACCTCAACCCGGGATCAAACCCACAACCTAGGTATGTGCCCTGACTGGGGATCGAACCTGCAACCTTTTGGGGTATATGGGGACAACACTCCAACCAACTGAGCCACTAGCTTGGGCGTGTGTTTGTATTTTTCTAATCCTCACCCGGATATGTTTATTGATTTTAGAGAGAGAGGAAGGAAGAGAGAAAGGAGGAGGAGGAGAGCGAGAGGGAAGGAGAAACATTGATCAGTCGCCTTCTATAGGCGTCCTGACCAGGTATCAAACATCAAACCTTGAATGTATTTTCAATAGTGAAGTACAATTAGATAAACTTAACAGGGAAAGGGGTAAAGAAATATTGAGGAAGCAAAAGAAGACAAATTCATTTATTTTAACTTCTTTTGAATCTTCAGTGAATCTTCTCTTTGTAAAATCTTGACATGTATTGTGCAAAAATGGCAGCAAGAGATTGTCTAGAACATATCAAAAGCCTGAAGAGTAAGTGTAGATTCACAGGGTAACCCATGACCTAGGGGAGTCCACAAACTCTTCCTTACTTCCAAACCTAATGTACGAGGCTGAGGCAACCCTCGGTTTCCTCATCTCTGAAACAGGAGTGGTGGCGACGCTGAAGTCTGCCCTACCTCTCAAGAACAAACAGGGTCATGTCTGCAAAAAGAGCTCCTGAGAGAAGAAGTTACGTAGACACGTACAGAGCCTTAGAGCTGTTGATCTTGTGAGATATAAGGTTATAGTAGATCTTTAGTCTTTGAATACGAGAACCTCAGATTCAAAAATTTAAAAAGAAGTCAGACGTCCAAGAGCTTACCATTGTGAGTTTCTCACTCAGTGCTGAGCAAGCCTGGACCCATCAATCTCTCTAACATATGAAAAGCACAAGTCCTCATTTCCTTTCCCAACAAATGAACAAAGACGACAAAACAAAACTAACTATTAAAAAAAGTCTCCGTGATGCCAAAAGGGTGAAGTACAGGAAAAAAGCAAAAAGTGAACTGTCACAACCATATCAACAGTACAGCTATCTCCCTTACTTTCAAGGGCTGGTGTTCTTTAATTTTTTAAAAGATTTTCTTTATTTAGGCCTGGCTGGTATAGCTCAGTGGATTGAGCGCAGACTTCAAGCCAAAGGGTTGCTGGTTCGATTCCCAGCCAGGACACAGGCCTGGGTTGCAGGCTAGGTCCCCAGTGGGGGCCATGTGAGAGGCAACCACACACTGATGTTTCCCTCTCTCTCTTTCTCCCTCCTTTCCCCTCTCTAAAAATAAATAAATAAGAAAAAAATTTAAAAAGAAAAAGATTTTATTTATTTATTTTTAGACAGAGGAGAAGGGAGGAAGAAAGAGAGGGAGAGAAACATCAGTGTGTGTTTGCTTCTCGCACACCCCCTACTGGAGACCTGGCCCACAACCCAGGTGTGTGCATGGCTGGGAACTGAACCAGCAACTCTTCGGTTCGAAGGCTGGCACTCAAATCCACTGAGCCACACCAGCCTGGTATCCTTATCTAGTGTTTTGCATTTTTTAAAAAAGATATCAACAAACATGGGAATGAAAAGATATTTTAAAATATTAAAAAATACATCGAATGAGTGGAGGAGGCAAGAAAGAAACAGCAAAGGAAACAGGGACCTAGAAACATGGCTCTTTGTGCATCCCCCCGTCTCCTCGTCCCCTTCCACTTCTAGCCCCTAGACCTGGGCAAGAAGGCCAAACTAAGACTACCATGTTTCACCAAATAAATATTTATGATAGAAGTGGTTCTACATAAATGGATAAATACATTAATATATAAATATATTTCTACATAAACATACAAGTATATGATGCAGAATAGTATATATTAATATAAAGTAATGAAAAATTTTAAACACCAGAATTTATCTATCTTGATGGGCATCATCCTTCAAAGTATAGATTATTCTAATTGACAGAGGACCTCAAATCTGGCCTGAGATATTTTATTCTAATAATCAATCAGTAGGAACATAAAACTATGTTTAAAGGAATATGTAATTTAAAATATAATATCCTATAGTGTAAAAAGCAGAATTAATAACAAAATTCTAATTACATTAGATGATGAAGAAATGAAAATGGAGAAGCCCCCAAAAAAGGCCAAAAGTTTTAAGCCTGGAAAAGTATGAGAATGGCGGTATTACACAGCAAGTTAGTTTTCCAGAAAATAAACCTCTGTTTAGACATGTAGCACATGATTTTTCAGAGGAGCCCTCAAAGGGAGTAATAGTCTAGTTGGCAATCAAAGCCAAACATGTCAATAATATAAAAAAAAATAAGTTTCATCAGCATAGAAATGATAGTTAAAGCTTCAAAAGCAGAAAAGCTATCTGAAGTAAATGTAGCATAATAACGCAGAAGAATGAAGGGAAGAAAGACATACTGGTGACTGAACTTCAGAAAATATCTCCTAAGTGACCAAATAAGCACCTTGAACATTCACACCTCCTAAATTATAGTTCCTACTGCACTGTATTTTCAGAGCTACCTCTCCCTATGACTTCCTTGTGACAAAGTAGATGTTCAATAAAGGTTTACTGCATAACAGTATAAATAGTTAAGGACCAGAGCAGAAAGAAAACAAAACAAAAAAAAAAGAACACAGACCATTAGAGAGGTAGGAAAATAAGAAGGGTTTTTTGGCTATTGTTTATTAATCCAGCATAAATAAAACACCCACAAATATGAGCCCATTTGTATAGCAGTTGATCTGAAGTATTCCAGATCTGGAGAAAAGTCACCTGGATACAACCCTGACAGAATAGATGGGAGAGGAAAGAAAACTGCTCTCGGATGGCCCGACGACGCACGGTTCCCCTGAAGAGACGTCGGACCTTACTTTAGGTGGAGAGAGATCGTGAGCTCATTGCTTCAAATGAGCAATGAAGCAAATAAGTAGTTAACAAACTGAAATCAGAGGCATACTATTGACTTTGTATCAGTATGTAATTCTTTACATCTAGAAATCTGACAGTTAATGAACCAGCCCCCAGAGCTAATTAAAGAACGCAAAGATTTGTGAATGGGCCCATCTGCAGCAGCTGCTGATCACGTTACAGGAATGCTAGGTAAACAACAACAGAAATAAAAGCATGATGAATGATCATACACCAGAAAGCTAAAGGATTCAAATTCTGATTTTAGACAATCTCCTTTGGGTTTCAGTGAGTCATTTCTGTTGCTAATTAGTAAAAATAAATAGCATTACCGAGTGCAGATTAGTGGTATTAAGAGGCCTAACATCCAAAGAGAAGACAGGGTAAAGGCGGCTGCTAAATGTGATTAAATGGATTTTTATTGTGTACTTGATGTGCAGTACTTCCTCTTTGCACAAAGCCACCTCCACTTTATTACGAGAGTATAAAGATAGATTAAATAAATATGCATGCTATTACTTTGAGCTTTTAAATAACAATTAAAGTCACCATGAAACGGTCTGACGTTTGTATTAGCATAATAAACAGGTGGTTATTCCATAAACTATACTCAACTCACTATCTTCTCTCTAGTACTAACAATGATAATAAAACCATTCCCTTGTATTTACACGGCTTTTCACTTTTTGAAAGCACTTTCACAAACAGTAACCAAAGGCAGCCTTATGTATGATTGGACCACTGATTATACAGGCATGTTAAGTGTAGGTTTACACTGCAGAAACTACTCCTGTCCCCCTCCCTAGTGCTAATAACACTCCCTTTCTTTCAAAGCACCTTCACACATACTAATCGGAGGAGGGGCATTAGGAATGATCTTTCCATTCTTTGCATCATCTGAAGGGCATAATCCAAAAAAGAAGAGAACTAAATATTGGTACACGAACTCAATGATTTTGAGGCAGTCAACTCATGATTCTTAAAGTTGGATTTAGATTTCCCAGAGGTCTTACAACCAGAGCAAACTCTCCAGGACAATCATTCTCCCAGGCATAAGCGTTGAGAGACAATAGAATTAAGTGACTAAGATATTCTACGTATAGGTATAAGGAAAGAAACCAAACAGATCTCGTTGACCACTGTAAACCCTCCATGTCGAGTACAAGGTTCAGTGCATAGTAAACGCTCAGTAAATCACTGTGATAATTTTTACGGGAGGAACATTTTACCCAAGCTCCCACAGAATATCTGATTGCAGCTAAGAACAAAAATCTGTATTTTTTGTTTTATTACTTTTCCTCCACAATTACTGTTTTGAAACAATCCAATGGTAGTATATGTTATAACATCTATTTCATAACATTATACATTTCTGCCCTGGCTGGTGTGGCTCAGTGGATTGAGTGCGGGCTGGGAACCAAAGGGTCGCTGGTTCGATTCCCAGTCAGGGCACATGCCTGGGCTGCAGGCCAGGTCCCTAGTGGGGGCCATGTGAGAGGCAGCCACACATGATGTTTCTCTTCCTCTCTTTCTCCTTCTCTTCCCCTCTTTCTAAAAAATATTTTAAAATTTTTTAAAAATTATACATTTCTAATGTAGCTTTTTGGCTGTTTCCATGTTCAATATATAGCATATTTTCTTAAAGGAATGAAAAACGTAGCCCTGGCTGGCGTAGCTCAGTGGATTGAGCGCGGGCTGTGAACCGAAGTGTCGCAGGTTCGATTCCCAGTCAGGGTACATGCCTGCGTTGCAGGCCATAAACCCCAGCAACTGCGCATTGATGTTTCTCTCTCTCTATCTCCCTCCCTTCCCTCTCTAAAAATAAATAAATAAAATCTTAAAAAAAAGATGGCCCATATGAAACTGTAATTTAAAAAAAGGAATAAAAAACGTAAATTTAAAAAGAAACCACCACAATCTACTTATGTTCCAGATTTAGCTGGGAAATTTTCTTTTAAAAATAATTTTGTAAAATCTGTAAATAAACCATTCATCAGGAAAAACCAGGCTTGTTGGGTAATATTTATAAACCACACAACCATAGAAGATAAAAATGAAAGCACAACAGTTCTCAGATTATATCAGTCTCCTTAAAATAAATGTACGTCCTTTAGCTTGATCATTCTTAAGTCAAAGGGAAGAACTTCTAAAACCAAGATCACTGAGAGCCCCTAAATCATACCAACTTTGGCATGGTGAAAACAGTATTTATAGTAGCCCAATCATTTGTGGTAGAAGCATTTTCCATGCATTATTTCTTTGAGGTAGATGGGAACAAATACTTCACTAAAAAAATTTATTTGGCATCCAGGAAAATTTTTCCTGAGGTTGCATAAAGAGTAGTAAGAGAAGTTACAGTGACCTACGTCTTTTCCATGCCTGAATCTGTACCATTTTATAGATCACCTTTCAGTAGGATTACCAGATCAAATACTGAATGGAACATACTAAAACAATTATTCACTATGTATCTGAAATTCAAATTGAAGTGAGCATTCTGTATTTTTATTTGTTAAATCTGGCAACCCTAGCTTTCAGTATTAAATCTGTTTCAGAAAATACCAAATTCATTGCCAGGAAGAGATTTAGTCTCATAGAAATTGGGTAATTCTTTACCTTTTAGAAATGTCTTGCAGACCAAACCACCACAAAGGCTTCCTGCAGAAGTAACTGTAAAAATAAATAAGTAAATAAATAAAATATCATAAATAAAACAATTAAACTGATTTTTATTTAAAGAATCAAATGGGAGCCTGAAAACCCTGCTTATAGACACGACATAAAAAAGGTGACCACGACAGCCCTAACTGGTGTGGTCCAGTGGGTTGGGTGTTGTTCCCCAAACTGGAAGGTCACCAGTTCAATTCCGGTCAGGGCACAGGCCTGGGTTGCAGGCCAAGCCCCTGGCTGGAGTTGTATGAGAGGCAACTGATCAATGTTTCTCGATCAGACACGTGGTTGCCTGTTCTGCATCCCCTACTGGGGACCTGGCTTGCAACCCGGGCATGTGACATGACTGGAAATCGATCCGGTGACCCTTTGGTTTACAGGCTGGAACTCAATCCACTGAGCCACATCAGCCAGGGCCAAATAAATAAAGTCTTAAAAAAAAAAGATGACCACTACTAATGAAGTTCAGTAAAAAATGGAGGCACCAAAGAAAAATTATAAAGCTACCATAACTGTTTGGGGGTAGAACAACTTCTTGGGGATGGGACTAAACAGCAAGCCTTTTCAGCTATATTCAATACCAGGACTGCCTCTTTGAATATTACCATCCCTAGTACAGAAGAATCACAGGAAAACTGTAGCTAGTAACCAAAGAATATCATGCCAATAACCCATATTCCAGTATAAGATTCAGTTAAAATTTTGGCCCCTCTTTTAACCAATTTACTCTTTAGTGGAAAATATCAGTTAAGAATCCTCTGTACCTAGAGTTCTAAATGTGAACAATTGGAGCAGTAATGCTTCAGGGAAAGAGGGTGAGGGACGAAGCAGGCACCTAAGAAGGAGAAACGATGAGAACCACATGGAGGCTTTTTTCCAAATTGAATATCCCTCCCCACGAGGAATGTGACTTGATGGTTGAGAATCTAAGAATCCCCGACACGGGAACCAATAAAAATATGTCTATCCCTCGAGAAATGTGTGCTCTCCAAGCAGGGAGAAGGTCGAGAACCACTGAATTAGCGTGAGAGGCAACAGCACACTCTAAAGGTGCGCTGCCCAGTAAAGTAGCCACTTACTACGTGTGGCTCTTTGAATTTAGCTAAATTAAATGCAAACGTCAGTTCCGCAGTCACACAAGCTGGCCGCGTTTCAAGTGCCCAGTAGCCGGGTGAGGCTTATGGCTCCTGCACTGAACAGCACAGAGGTAAGACATTTCCATCATCACAAAAAGTTCTATTGGATAAGCAATGCCTTAGATCTCCAGATTCTGAATGATCTAGACAAACAGTACATGCTCAAAAGGCATGAATTCAAGCAGCATAGAACATTAAATAAAAGACAATCGTCTTTTTAAAAAAACATTTTATTTATTTATTTTTAGAGAAAGAGGAAGAGAAGGAGAAGGAGAAAGAGAGAGAGAAACACTGTGTGAGAGATACATCCCATCCCCTGCTGGGGACCTGGCCCACAACCCGCGTGCCCTGACCGGGAATCGAACCGGCCACCCTTGTGTTTTCAGGCCAGCACTCAGTCCACCGAGCCACGCTAGCCAGGGCAAGACAATCATCTTCTTAGTGTTCCTCACAGGGACACCCTGGTCTGAACTCAAAGGAGAGTGGATCATGGGGAAAGGGATGGCAGGCAGCAGCAGGCCTATCCTAGTGATCAGTCAGGAGCTAGAACATTAACAAGAAAAAGAACAAAACCCTTGTGTCTTGCAGTGGTCCGTAATATTTCTCATTTGCACGTCACACTGTTCCTTCTAACACCTCTTCTTGGTTTTAACAAGTGTCATGTCAACAGTTGTTGGGAGCGGGTCACTTTCGGTGCACGTGCTCAAAGAAAGCGATCACTCTACACCTCAACAGAACCCCAGTGTTCAGATCTGCAGAGCTGTCCTTCAAATGCAAAGATGGCAGCAGAGACCAGTTTGTAGAACACGTTCTTAAAGCAAAAACATTCCGCAAAATTTCCGCTATGGAACAGATGATCTTTAAAAATTTTTTTTAAAAAGAGCTATGTGGTCAAATGTGTGCGGGAAATGTTACATGTAGCCCATTTTGAACGATGCACAGTCCACACTGGCATAGTACAGGTTCGGAGAAAAGCTGAAGCCATGAAACTTTAGATTCCACTTTGTCAAGTTCATGATTGTTTAGCCCCTATGCTGTACACCTGAAACTAACACAGGATAATGCTCAATGTAAACTGTAATAGAAAAAATAATAAAATATGAAACTCTTTGATTTTAACCAGCATTCTCCAAATGTAGATTACATAACTCCTTTCTCGTAACTCATAAAAACATCCCAGAGTGCACGTTGTGAGAAACACCGCAACAAGCAGTACTTGTTAAAGCCGTCAACGATTATTGATGGAAAGAAACCACATAGTCGTCTCTCGGCTTCTCAGGATGAATCATTCCAGTAATAAAATGTGCTGGTTTGTTGGGAGTTGAATGTCGTGCCTCCAAAAGAGACTTTGAAGAGCTAAGCCCCAGTACTTACAAACGTGACCTTATTTGGAAACAGGGTCTTCACGATGTCATCAAGTTAAGATGAGGTTGGACCGGATTAGGGCGACCCGAAATCCCAGTGGTGTCCTTCATAAGAAGGCCACGTGGAGACACAGACACAGATTAGAACAGGAGAGAAGATCACACGAAGACAGAGGCAGAGACTAGAGTGATATGTAAACAAGCCAAGAAACACCAAGGGCCTGCCAGAAATCAGGAGAGAGTCATGAAATAGATTTCTCCCTCAGAGCCCCCAAAGGAAGCAAGTCTACTGATACCTTAATTTTGGACTTCTAGCCTCCATAACTGCGAGAAAATAAATTTATTTTGTTTCAAGACACTCAGTTGGTGGTCCTTTGTGACAGACCACAGGCGCCATATCACATTTGCAAGTAAAGATGGCAGATTGAACATACGTATCTCTTTTAATCCCTCCTGAAACCTGAATGAAACAGTAGAAATGGGATTTTTTAAGGGAATAAACTACAAGGATAGAGAATAAGACACAAAGACAATTATAATAAAGTTCTAGAAACTGAAAAGCAGAACTAGTGGGAAAGGATTTAGGAGAACTGACATGCTGGATTATAAGCCAGAAAGTTAGAAGGCCAAAAAACAACTCAAAGTATACAACAAAATCCCCAAAGACTCAGGAATGGCAGTAGTAGGAGCTTCTGGAAGTAGGTGTGGGGTAGGAACTAAAATAAGAAGAGTCAAATAAAAAATTAATTTAGGAAGTAAATTCATTTTACTGTAGACCCCCTCCTCCATTAAGGATTCCGGGGACTGGCCCTCCCTAACCTTGGCGGGGGTGGGGTGAGGGAGAGGTCATTCCTTAAACAGGTAGAACGTGGGTCTCCAGACCGAGATGAGAACCAAAGCTGCACTAAAGACAAATGGGCTGAGAGAATGTAAACACGGAATGCTGGGACACCCAACACCCCTCTCACCCCTGAACCCCAGAATGCTGGCAATCTGGCTTTCTATCCACCTGGTGAGGCAATGACTCTATGAATTTTTTTTAATCCAGAAGAATATATATTTTTAATGTTATCTAATAATTATCATAAGGGGTGAGATTACTGGAAAGTCTCCCTTTCCATAATATATATTTTCGTAATGTTGCAGTGCTTTATGAGAAGCATGTATCTCCTTTCTCCCTACCAAAAAAATATGAAACTAATTACGGAAATATCAGAGACAGTCAAGAGAAGAGAAGTGTGCCCTATACTAGATGAGCTGAAGAAATCCATTGGGCCCAACATACCTTTGGAATTGGGTTTCTTGCCAAAAGCTATTGTGGCTCAAGTCCTTTGCTTTGAATGAAATCAACTTTGCTTCCTTGGCAACAGTTCACAGATTGGAATCGATACACAATCTAATGCAACCAGCTACAGACCAGCATGCCCTAGCCACACAGCTAGCCATCTCTCTCATGAGCGGTCAGACCTCTGTCCAGTCGGAGTGGAGTTCACGTAGAACAGAAGCAAACCAACCTACCGTTCCTCTTTTAAGGATGTTCACTGCTGGGCACACAGAGAGAAGACGGGTCACTCCAGTTCGGGTGAGAGAATGTCTTGTGGAGCCTAAAGTACTACCCAGTCTCGACTGGGACCCGGGGTGACTCCTCTAAGACCAGTGGGACAGTTTCATTCCAGAGGACCCTTCAAGAAATCCACACACCCAAATACCCACACAAATAAAACAGGTATCACTTCACAAGTCCAAGAAAATTCATGTCAGTGCCACTCAATGCATCAGCTTCTCTCAGACGTTCAGGCAAAAATGGCAAAAGAATAAGTGCCAAGCGGAGGAGATGTGTATTCTCAACCTAACTGCAAGTTGTGACTTATCCAAGTATGCACTACTCATTTCGTCTTTTCTTTTTCCTTTATTTTTTGGCTCTTTTCCAAGTACCAAAGGGTAGGCATGAAAGAAAAAGGAGATAAAATTCAATGTCATGTAATTTTGCTGTGAAAGAAGAGGTTAAAACCAAAAGCAACCCCTGGCTGGCGTAGCTCAGTGGATTGAGCGCAGGCTGCGAACCAAAGCATCGCAGGTTCGATTCCCAGTCAGGGCACATGCCTGGGTTGCAGGCCACGGCCCCCAGCAACTGCATATTGATGTTTCTCTCTCTCTCTCTTTCTCCCTCTCTAAAAAATAAATAAAATAAAATCTTAAGAAAAATATTTAAAAAAAACAAAAGCAAGAGTGAGATTGTTTCTGAGTAATTTTACCTTGAGTCAGTAAAATAAATAATCCTGTGATAAGAGTCAGTCTACTCGCCTTTCCTGAATGGCATGTTTGTAAATCTATCATCAGATCCTTATTACATAATCATTTAAGTTTTTTAACTATGGAACAACCCTGAAGTGATAACATGACAAAAGATTATGACTAATTGATTTTTTAAAATAAACTGTAACATAAATGATGACAGAGATAGCAAATCAACATCTTCTTCTTCCTCCACTTACTGGTTGTTACACAATGAAGAGTGTTTGCCTGGCGCTCAGAATTGAATGCTTCCATGGAAATCACTAGCTGTCCTTCAAGCAACGCTCCTTTGGCTGTTTCACACTTCCAGTGAATTATCAAGTATTTCAAAATCTGAAAAGGGCACAATTCAAAAAAGAAAGAATCTTTAGAAATCTTGGTAATAAATGTGTATGATAGTTAATAATTCTGATTTTTAAAAATAATATTCTTGCTTACAAAACGTCAGATGTACATTTGTACAAAACAAAGCACTGTGTCCAAATAGAAGAAATCATTTCGGGAGGTGACATAAGAAAGGAGACAGTGAAATTCAACACCATGCCCAACAAGACAGGAAACGGGGACATTGAACTGCTTTATTCAAAGGGTAAGTTCATCTGGAAATAATAATTTTGAAAAAATTAAGTGGGAGTTTGTTTTTCCTGTTTCTTTTCTCTTCCCATATAAAAGCCAACACTGAGTTATGAATCATCGTTAACTCTCACCGAATCGACATTTCTGGGCGTCAGAAAACCAGCTCAGAGCACTGGCTCTGGAGTCGGATGCCTGTTTTTGAATCCTGATGCCCCTCATTCTAGCACGTGACCTTGGGCAAGTTACTTGTCTGAACCTCAGCGTCCTCATTCATAAAAATGAGAACAAGACCCTGGCTGGCATAGCTCAGTGGATTGAGCTTTGGGCTGTGAACCAAAGTGTCAAAGGTTCGATTCCCAGTCAGGGCACATGCCTGGGTTGCAGGCCATGACCCCTAGCAACTGCACACTGATGTTTCTCTCTCTCTCTCTTTCTCCCTCCCTTCCCTCTCTAAAGATAAATAAATATAATCTTTAAAAAATGAGAACAAATCTACCATATACGGCTGCTGCTGATCGTGCACAATGCTTCATCCGGTGCCCGGCATACAGTAAACGCTTAATAAACGTTACCTAGTATTCCTAATAAGGTCATCTGCAGTCAAGATTGAACACAGTATTTTAAGCCAAACAGACCTCCGAGATGTCTGGTTAAAACATTCAATCTTGATGATACCAATTAGGAATAAAATATATTGTATTTAATTTCGTGATTATTTATGAAAGTAGACTCCCACGTCCACACTAAGGTACAATGGGGAGAATGATCACCCCCACCCCCACCCCTTTTTTTTTCAAAGGCAGGGAGATCTCAGGGAGAGAACTTCAGAACTCAGGCCCTAATTTGCACCAGGGCTGATGAAGACCGTTTCCAGGCAGGCCTGCCGTCTAACGCTTCCCTGCCCACGTCCTCTGACTTCCCTCTGCTGAGACTCGCCCGCAGTCTCCCCCCGCCGTCCACGATGAGGGCAGCTGGGACGGGAACACGGGCCTGCGAGTCAGCAGCGCTGGGCTCCACCCTGCGTTCTGTGAACTCGAACCCTCCAACTTTCTCGGAGGGCGGTAACCGCGGCAGCGGGAAGCGCGGAGGAACTCTCGGCGCGTCCAGATAGATCCGCCCCGCGTGGCCCGCGCGTCTCTTTGATCTGTCTGGGCAGCCCCTGCCGGGAGCTGAGTCAACCGGGCACTGGCCGTGGACGTGCTGTACACGGCAGGGACAGATGTGGCGACCCGGTGGTGGCCGGTGCTCAGTCCCGCCGCCGTGCGGAGCAAGCACCGATCCCCCGCCCGCGGCGCGGCCGGCGGGGACCCAGGGGGCAGCCCCACAGGCTGCTGGGCGCGAGGGCCCACAGCCACTTTCCCGCCCTCACGTTCCGCACGGACCGGCCCCGATGCCCCCCCCCCCACGCCGGGGCCGCCCATCCCTTTTGGTCGCTGCCCTCCCGGCGTGGGAGGGGGTCCCGAGCCTGCCGGGCGGACAGCGCCACTTCCGGGCCCTGGGTGTCCCCCGCGGAGCGGGGGGGGCGGCGCCAGCTCCCCCCCACTCCCCGCGGCCGGCGGCCTCTGCCCGTGACCTCGGCCGAGTGGGCATCCCTCCACGTGGCCCAGCTTTGCGGCCCAAGCGCTCCCACGCGCGGGGGCTCGTCCGCTCCTCACACCGCCCGGGGCGCGGCCGGCCCGCTGGCCCCGAATCGGGTCATCCCTGAACCTTCCTCGGCCACCTCAGGCAGCGCCGGCGCCCTCGGCCCGAACTTCGCGGCGGTCTCCTCACGGAGCCCGTCTCCTCGGGCTCCGTCCTCCTCTTTCTCTCCCTTTCTGGCATCACCTCACACACGGCCGCGGCCGACCCCTCCATCCTGCACGAGGAGCAGCACCGACACCGGCCTCCGGGTGCCAGCCCGGGCTTCGAACTCCGCCCGCGGCCACGCGAGGCTGCACCACGTGCGGCCCCGCCCACCGGCCCACCGCGCCTGCGCGCCGGCGCCGCCCTGCCCCGCCCCGCCCCACCCCCCCCACCCCACCCCCCCCCCACCCCCCCACCCCCGCCCAGGCCGCGAGGCGCCGGGTCCTGCCAGTGCCAGGGACCAGCACACCGAGCAGCCGCGGCGGGTGGGCGGACCGGTAGGCGAGCCGCCCGGCTAGGGAAAGCCCGCGGGCGGCGAGCGAGGCTGGAGGCGAGCAGGAATGAGGCCGGGCCAAGACTCCTCCTTGCTCTCGAAAGAGACTTTCCCACGGTCCCGACGAGGTGCAGCCCTCAGCCCCGGAGAAGCGGCTGGTGCGGGACCCCGAGCCGGTTCTTGGCCCCCCAAGCGGCTCGGTTCCTGCAGGGACTGCTCCGAGTGCCCCAGACCTACCTCTGGGCCCCAGATTTAGCACATAAAAAATGCAGAACAGACCGTTGAATTCGAATTAAAATTTTAAAAGCAAAAAAAAAAAAATCTTAAGCATATGTATATCCCGTGCAATATTTGGGACAAATTTAAAAAGTTATTTGTTCATTTGACATTCAAAACTGGACGTCCTGTATTTTCACTGACAATCTATCCCAAGCATGTCCCCATGCCTAATTCCAAGGTGCCCAGGCAGGACCAGGAACGGGGACCCTCGCCCCCAGGGAATAGGCCCCTCCCCACGTTCGACTCCGCTAAATACACCAAGGGCAGGAACTGGCTTTCCTGGGCTCCGCTGCCAGGAGAAGCGCTGGGGTTTGCCCAGAGTGTTCCCAGCTGAAAGGAAGGTACAGGGTTCCTCCAGCTGCAGGGTTCCTTGCAAGTTCAGGGAGGGGCGTGGCCAGAGGCGGGTGGGGGGACGTCGGTGAGCCCGTTTAAATGGATGATCAGGTAGCCAGAAGAAAACTGGCGAGAGATTCCTGCCTGGCAGAGAGTTGCCCAAGGAGAAGGGTGGGACGGGGTGTTGGCTGCTTCCCTTCAGGGAAAATTCTTTCACCGCAGCTCCAAGCAGCCAGGGTTGGACAGAACAGGCAGGGGGAGCTGGCAGAGTGCCTGTCCGGCGCACAACCTTGGTGCTACTCCAAAGAACAAGTCTACTGAGACCCGCATCATGGCTTGTTGGAGTCAGCTCAGCGCTGTTGACCACGCCCCCCCAGATCAGTTGCTCACAGGTAAACCTGTTGGAGAAAGGTGGCTTTTATTTCTGGAAAATTCATCATAATACCATCTCAGCTTTGATGAGCTGGCATTTGGGGAATCATTGGAGCCTTTCTCTCCCTTCCACTCCCTTCTTTCTCAGGTGTCCCCTTTAGGAAGGGCAGTTGCCAAAGGCAAGGGAGCTGACATTTATTGAAAGACTTCCTGTTGTCTGCACTGGCTCTTTATATAAATTTTTAACTCTCCCTGGCTGGTGTGGTTCAGTGGACTGAGCGCCTGGCCTGTGAACCAAAGGGTCGCTGGTTGGATTCCCAGTCAGGGCACATGCCTGGGTTGCAAGCCAGGTCCGCAGTGGGGGACGCCTGAGAGGCAACCACACATTGATGTTTCTCTCCCTCTCTTTCTCCCTCCCTTCCCCTCTCTCTAAAACTAAATAAATAAAATCTGTTTAAAAAATTTTTTTTAATTCTCACAGTATCTCGTGAGAGATAATAACTTATCAGCACTGTTTGATGGGTGAGAAACCAAGGTGATGAGGATGACTCTTCAAAATAGTTCCCATGGCTCAGCAGAAAATGCCCCACCTTGAGAAAGGCATCGGGAACAGAGGGTGGAGAACAGCTGCCAGGGTAGAGGTACTTCAGGGAATTTGGTCATCCTGGCTTCCAGCCCCTGTCCTTGGAGCGGGCCTGGGGGTGAACGTGCAGTGAGTGGGGCACACGACACCATCCTAAAGGCAGGGAAGCTGACAGAGGCAGCCAGGGACGCAGCTCCCCATGCCACCCTCCCAGATGCAGGCAGAATGGAGGCAGGGAGCCTCTGATACCAGGGCCTGCCATCAGGGGGGTGTCCACAGCACAACCCCCCGGTAGTCAGGCAAGGTTCGGTGCGGGCTGGGCATTTCGTGAGCATCTACTCCATGCTTCACTTCTTCTTATTTATCTTCAGTAACCTTCCCAACCTTGTACAGGAGGCGTTGTTGCCATTTTATACGTGACGAAGATGAGGTCCCAGGAAGAGGTTGTATCACACTGAGTTTGTAAATGGCAAAGCCGAAACCTGAAACAGAAATCTCTGAACCCCTCTCCGGGTTCCCCCACAGCTACTCAGGGCATCTCCCACCCGGATGTGACCTGCCTAACGGCTTGTCTCAAACTTCTGCAGTCTGGGAACAGGAATACTACTAGGAGAAGCAGCCCCGGCCCCGAGCAAAAGCTAAGGAGCCAATGAGCTCAGATGCCCTCGCCTCCCACCAACTGAAACTTGAAGGAGCCCTCCTCTCACCCAGCAGTGTCTGCCCCCCGCCCGTTTGAGGACTAGCATCTGACACACTATCGGACTGACTCCACATTATTCAAACTCTTGCTACTCTGACCTCATCTTCAGAGCAATGGGGTGTTAGAGCCGGAAGGAACTGTAGGGGTTATCAATTGTCTTCAACAGATGAAGAAGTCTGAAGCCCAAAGGAGTTGACTGATCTGCTTGAGGTTAAGGTCACCTTGGTCAACCAGGTCAACCAAGGAGCCCTTGGGATGCTTCTCTGGATATGTTCAGCCCTGGCGCTCAGGGTCTTAGCAGTGCCTTCGTGCGGCCAGCTCGCCCCAGTCCTTCGACTTAGCGGCGTGCCGATTCTGCTTGCGTCCCTTCACCCACCTCGGGATTGGGATGAGTGTTTCACGTCCACTTTGGACAACCTGTTTATTCTGAGAAGAAATCCCCCATCTGGCCAGCAGAGACACCCCCCCTCCCCAGTAGAGCCCCAGACTGACTCTGCCCCGAACCCCAGGGTTTGGGCGGAACCAGAACGTCCTGGGGAGTGCTCTCAGGTCAACAGTGACGTTTTAGGAACTGGTGAGCTGACTTTCCCTTCTGAATGTGCCCTTCCCTGCACGCCGTTCCTAGACGCTTCTTCGGTCCTGCCTTGTTCTCAGGCTGCCCTGGGGCGTTCAAAGGCCCTGAAGAGACTGGCCCCAGGAAGTCAGGAGAAACATATCCCTGGGGCCCCCCTTATGAAGTTGGAGCAAAACAAAGTCCATTTGAGGAGTGTCTTCCCCCCGCTCCCTGGGAGACCGTTGAGTTCAAAGAGGCTGTTTCCCACGCAGACAGTAGGAAAGGGTTAACCGCCTCTCTCAGGTCCCCAGCAAAGCCTGCCCCCCACCACTTCCCATAACCGGGTTTCCTGAAATGGAGCAGGTCCCGTGTGCCTCTCCACTAATCACAGCCGTGGAAATGGGGCCACAAAGCTCAGATTAGCTCATCCCGTCACCTTCTCGAGGCCTTCTCCACCCGGAGCACAGAATCTGGGGCAGCTGCGCTACTCACCTCTCTCTACTTTCCTGTCAGGGGTCAAACGGGCTGCTCAGGGCAGAGGAATGTCAGGTTAGGGGGCCCTGGAGGCCACGGCGGTGCTGACTTTTGTTGTGCCATTTCTTCAACCACGGCGCTCGTTCTTCTTCATTCTCAGGTTCGTGGGCAAAATAAAGATCCCCTCTGGGCACTTCCGACGTCTGCGTGACTTCAGTGCTTTCTTCTGCACCCCCATTCCCTGTTTCCTTCCTCCTTCTTAAGGTGACTGAGGGGGATTCTGGGCCGCTCCCTGCTTTCCCCGGCTGACAGCCGCCCCCTGCACGGGGTCTCTGGTTTCTGCACCAGTGGCAGGTTCTGGAGCCAGCCCGAGAGATTTCCCTCCTTTCCCGTCAGTGTCCAACTTCTCCTCTTCCTAGATAACCAACAAAACCCGTATCACAAGGTGGTTCTGCCCTCTGTGACTGGCTTTTTACCTCCCTTCTAGACGGGTGCGCTTACCCTGCCAGCTCAAGGCCACGGGAAGGGAAGTACTCTTCGCGGCAGAGAAGAGCTGGGAGTGGAAATAGCAGTGTAGTCTGGTCACATGGGACCAAGGAAACCCACTGATCCAAAGGCCAGATGATCACCTTCTTTGAAAAACAAATAGGCTAAGGGGGATGAAGATCTGTCTTCTCGGGGCCCCACTGAAAAGACGCTGGCTGCACGCGACTGGTCTCGGTTCGGCCTCCGCAGGCTCACAGCGCTCTGAAGTCCCTCCCCAGGGGTGCTGCCGGCGGACCAAGTCTTTAAAGCTGGCTTTGTGGAACCTCAAGGGAGCTGATTTCTTACTGATCTCTGAAGTCGACTTGCTTTTCATCTGTCCTAGCTTTTGGACCATTTTTATCTTCTGTTTTCCCCAATTTTTTTTTTAATTCTCACCTGAGGGGTTTTTTAAGAGAGAGAGAGGAAGTGAGAGAGAGAGAGAGAGAGAAACACACGAGCCCCAAAGGGGGATCAAACCTGCAACCTAGGTATGTGCCCTGACTGGGGATCGAACTCACAACCTTTTGATGTACAGGACAGCTTTCCAACCGACGGAGCCACCTGGCCAGGGGTGTCCCTCCAGCTTTCATTGTCACCCGTTGAAAACAGGCTGTGGGATCTCAAGTCTAAAAGGGTCAGGATGTCTACATTCTTTTCCCATTCCGCCACTCAGCTGCAGGTGTGACGTTCTAGTTTTCCGCCACTAAAATAGGAAAATTCTCCCAGGAATATGGTTAAAATAACATCTGTGAAACAATGGGAGAGTGTTAGAATCTTCAAATGAGAAGAAATCTTAGAAGTCCTTTAATCTAGTATTTCCCAGCCAGAGGAACAATATTTTTTTCCCTATTCATTTCCTTTTCCCCCACCCCTGAAAAGCCTCCCTCCACCTCCTTCCTCGTGTCTTCCTGGTATCCAAGGCAGAGAAGGGATCTAGTTTGCACAGTATGTTTAGTGTATTTAAGGTTGAGAAACACCATTCTAATTCACCTCCCTATTTCATGCAATAGCT